CTACACTCTAATATTATTATAACACACATTAAAACACTAAGGTATGCAACTACACTCTACCATATTATAAATACATTATTACTGTACACTAAGGGTACAGTAACTTCACACGCACATATTATAACACATTTCTGTACACTAAGGTACAGTAACTCACACTTCTATATACATTATAACACATACTTGCCACTACAGCTGTAACCTTAATTTACTATTATACATTACTGTACACCTTACATGTAACCTACACTCTAATATTAATATAACACATTACCGCATTAATTAAGGTTGGTAACCTGCACACTTACCATATTATAACACATTACTGTACACTAAGGGCCAGTAACCTACACTCTAATAATATTATAACACATTACTGTACACTCATACAGTAAACTACACTCTAATACATTATAACACATTACTGTACACTAAGCAGTACAGTAACCTACACTCTACTGCCATTATAACACATTACCAGCCACCAAGGTACAGTAACTCTAAGCACCTCTAACACATTATAACACACACTGTACACTCAAGGTACAGTAACCTACACTCTACTACATTAGTAACACATTACTGCACACCATGTACAGTAACCTACACTCTAATACATTATAACACATTACTGCACACCAAGGCACAGTAACCTACACTCTACCACATTATAACACATTACTGTACACTAAGGCACAGTAAACTACACCTCTAATACATTATAACATTACTACTGTACACTAAGGTGCTGTAACCTACACCCCTATCATTATTATAACACATTGTACACTAAGGTAATAGTAACCTACACTTCAATATATTAGTACACATTACTGTACACCAAGGTACAGTAAACTCATACACTCACATATACACATTACTGTACACTAAGGTACAGTACCTACACCTAATACATTATAACACATTACAGCACACTCATATTATGCAACCTACAATTCTAATACATATTATAACACACATGGTACACTCAAGGTGCTGTGCAACCTACACTCTAATACAGAACATTAATATTGCATCATGCCAGTAACCTACACTCTAATAAGTATATATTATAACACATAATAAAATACTGCTGTATGCAACTTACACTCTAATACATTATAAATACATTACTGCACACTCATGTACAGTAACCTACACTTCAATATACATTATAACACATTACTGTACACTAAGGTACAGTAACCTACACTCTAATACATTATAACACACATTGTACACTATGTACAGTAACTCAAGCACTCTAATACATTATAACACATTACTGTACACCAAGGTACAGTAACTTACACTCTAATATATTATAACACATTACTGTACACTACAGCCAGTAACCTACACTTCAATACATTATAACACACATTACTGTACACTAAGGCAGCTGAAAACCTACACTCTAATACATTATAACACATTACTGGCATCATGTGTCAGCAACCTACACTCTAATACATTATAACACATTACTGTACACCAAGGCACAGTAAACTCACCTAATATTATAACACATTACTGCACACCTGCTGTGCTGCAACTCACACTCTAATACATTATAACACATTACTGCATACTCAAGGCACAGTAACCCACACCCCACACACATATTGGTAACACACATTGTACACCTGCTGCACAGTAAGCACACTTCTAATACACAGGACACACATTGCACACTGCTGCGCTGTGCAATCCCATACACTCTAATACATTATAACACATTACCAGACACTATGGCCAGTAAACTACTCTAATACATTATAACACACATTGTACAATTGCTGTAGAGTAACCCACTCTAATACATTATAACACATTACTGTACACTACAGTGCTGCAAATCATTACACTTAATACATTATAACACAACACAGGCCACCAGTACAGTAACCCACACTTCTAGCGTTATTATAACACATTACTGTACACTCCAAGGGGTACAGTAACCTACACCCCACACATTATAACACATTGCACACCTGCTATGGTTGTGCAACCTACACTCTAATACATTATAACACATTACTGTACACAAGGTACAGTAACTCACACTCTACTGGAGCATTATAGCACATTACTGTGTCACTCAAGGTACAGTAATCCCACACTCTAATACATATATTATAACACATTGTACACTAAGGCTGTGCACCTACACTCTAATACATTATAACACATTACTGCACACCATGTACAGTAACCTACACACTCTAATACATTATAACACACAGCAGTACACTAAGGTACAGTAAACCACACACTAGAGATGTAACACACACGCCACCTGCTGGCCAGTAATCCTACACTCTAATACATTATAACACATTACTGTACACTAAGGTTGTGTAAACTAAGCACTCAATACATTATAACACACATTGCACACTCAAGGTACAGTAACTCTACACTCTACCATATTATAACACATTACTTTTTACACTAAGGTACAGTAACCTACACTCTTAATATTATTATAACACACATTGTGTACACCAAGGTACAGCAACCTGCACTCTCTAATACATATAACACACACTACAGTATGCAATCCCACACTTAATACATTATAACACATTACTGTACTCTCTAAGGTACAGTAACTCACTCTAATACATTATTACACACATTGTACACTAAGCGTGCAACCTACACTTTAATACATTATATCATTATTGTGCCACTCAAGGTACAGTAAACTCTGCGACTCTAATACATTATAACACATTACTGTGCTACCTATGCACAGTAAATTTCACACTCTAATACATTATAACACATTACTGTACACCAAGGTACAGTAAACTACACTTACTATTATAACACACACAGGCCACTAAGGTACAGTAAATCACACTCTAATACATTATAACACATTATCAAAGCACTATGCGCTGTAAAATTACACTCTAGTCAAGAATATAACATTAATACTGTATACCTATGCTGTGCAAACTACACTCTAATACATTATAACACATTACTGTACACACTAAGGTACAGTAAACTACACTTAATACATTATAACACATTACTGTGTACTCTCATGCAACTCTACACTTAATACAAAATACACATTGTACTTAAGGTATGCAAATGCACTCAATATATTATAACACACATTGCACACTATACAGTAAACCACACTCAATATTATTATAATAACACATTACTGTGCAATAATTGGCACAGTAAACTACACCTCAATACATTATAACACATTACTGCACTTCTAAGGTTGAAAACTACACTCTAATACATTATAACACATTAATACTCTACAAGGGTACAGTAATCCCCACACTCTAATACATTATAACACATTACTGTACACTAAGGCAGTGCAACCACACTCTTTCTAATATATTATAACACATTACTGTACACTAAGGTACAGTAACTACACTCTATATTATAAATACATTACTGCATCAAGGCACAGGTAACTCCAATTTAATACATTATAACACATTACTAAAATTTCCAAGGTACAGTAACCTACACTCTAATACATTATAACACATTACTGTACACTATGTTGTGCAAACTACACTCTAATACATTATAAATACACACTGCACACTAAGGTACAGTAAATACACTTCAATACATTATAACACATTACTGTGCCACTCAAGGTGCAAATACACTTAATACATTATAACACATTACTGCACACTCAAGGTACAGTAAACTACACTCTAATACATTATAACACATTACTGTACACTAAGGTACAGTAAACTACACTCAAATATGAGAACACACACAGTACACTACAGCAGTAACCCACACTCTAATACATTATAACACACATTACTGCACACCATGCGCTTTCAGTAACTCTACACCTAATAACACATTACACATTACTGTACACCAAGGTACAGTAAACTACACTCTAATACATTATAACACATTACTGTACACCAAGGTACAGTAAACTACACTCTAATACATTATATACACATTACTGTACACTACAAGTATTGTGCAACCTACACTCTACTACATTATAACACATTACTGCACACTAAGGCGTTGCGTAACCTACACTCTAATACATTACAAACACACTATCAGGCCACCAAGGTACAATAACCTACACTCATATCACATTATAACATTACTGTACACTATGCGCTGTGCAATTCCACACTTACCATATTAGGAACACACACTGTACACTATGCTGAAAACTACACTCTAATACATTATAACACATTACTGTACACTAATTACAGTAAAGCTGCTCTAATACATTATAACACATTACTGTACACTAAGGTACAGTAACCTACACTCTACTACATTATAACACATTACTGTACACTAAGGTACAGTAAACTACACTCTAATACATTATAACACATTACAGTACACTAAGGTACAGTAACCTACACTCTAATACATTATAACACATTACTGTATTCTAAGGTACAGTAACCTACACTCTAATACATTATAACACATTACTGTACACTAAGGTACAGTAAACTACACTCTAATACATTATAACACATTACTGTACACTAAGGTACAGTAAACTACACTCTAATACATTATAACACATTACTGTACTCTAAGGTACAGTAACCTACACTCTAATACATTATAACACATTACTGTACTCTAAGGTACAGTAACCTACACTCTAATACATTATAACACATTACTGTACACTAAGGTACAGTAAACTACACTCTACTACATTATAACACATTACTGTACACTAGGTACAGTAAACTACACTCTAATACATTATAACACATTACAGTACACTAAGGTACAGTAACCTACACTCTAATACATTATAACACATTACTGTACTCTAAGGTACAGTAACCTACACTCTAATACATTATAACACATTACTGTACACTAAGGTACAGTAAACTACACTCTAATACATTATAACACATTACTGTACACTAAGATACAGTAAACTACACTCTAATACATTATAACACATTACTGTACACTAAGGTACAGTAACCTACACTCTAATTATATAACCTCTTTTTCCCAGATGTGTGTAGTGACCTGGGGCATCGAGACGGCTCCTTACCAGGTCGTTGACACAACCCAGGTCAGTAGGAAGTCAGACTTGTTCCGGGATAATAATAAACTTGTAGCACTGGCAGTAAACTGGGCCATATATTTTCTAATACTATAATTATATGGCATTAAAATTACTTGTAAAATCAAGGTCATAACACTTCCTGGATTCTTTGTAATTACGACTGTACTGTAGGTCACAGAGGCAGTACTAGGTCACACAGTGTACTGTAGGTCATAGAGGCAGTACTAGGTCACACAGTGTACTGTAGGTCACAGAGGCAGTACTAGGTTACACAGTGTACTGTAGGTCATAGAGGCAGTACTAGGTCACACAGTGTACTGTAGGTCACAGAGGCAGTACTAGGTCACTGATGCTATGAGTCACAGAAGGCAGTGGTCGCTACCAGTGTACTGTGGGTCTGAAGGCAGTGCTGGGTCACTGATGCTGTGGGTCACAGAGTACTAGGTCACACAGTGTACTGTAGGTCACAGAGGCAGTACTAGGTCACACAGTGTACTGTAGGTGATAGAGGCAGTACTAGGTCACACAGTGTACTGTAGGTCATAGAGGCAGTACTAGGTCACACAGTGTACTGTAGGTCATAGAGGCAGTACTAGGTCACACAGTGTACTGTAGGTCATAGAGGCAGTACTAGGTCATACAGTGTACTGTAGGTCACAGAGGCAGTACTAGGTCATACAGTGTACTGTAGGTCATACTAGGTCACACAGTGTACTGTAGGTCACAGTACTAGGTCACACAGTGTACTGTAGGTCATAGAGGCAGTACTAGGTCACACAGTGTACTGTAGGTCACAGAGGCAGTACTAGGTCACACAGTGTACTGTAGGTCATAGAGGCAGTACTAGGTCACACAGTGTACTGTAGGTCACAGAGGCAGTACTAGGTCACACAGTGTACTGTAGGTCACAGAGGCAGTACTAGGTCACACAGTGTACTGTAGGTCATAGAGGCAGTACTAGGTCACACAGTGTACTGTAGGTCATAGAGGCAGTACTAGGTCACACAGTGTACTGTAGGTCATAGAGGCAGTACTAGGTCACACAGTGTACTGTAGGTCATAGAGGCAGTACTAGGTCACACAGTGTACTGTAGGTCATAGAGGCAGTACTAGGTCACACAGTGTACTGTAGGTCATAGAGGCAGTACTAGGTCACACAGTGTACTGTAGGTCATAGAGGCAGTACTAGGTCACACAGTGTACTGTAGGTCATAGAGGCAGTACTAGGTCACACAGTGTACTGTAGGTCATAGAGGCAGTACTAGGTCACACAGTGTACTGTAGGTCATAGAGGCAGTACTAGGTCACACAGTGTACTGTAGGTCATAGAGGCAGTACTAGGTCACACAGTGTACTGTTGGTCACAGAGGCAGTACTAGGTCACACAGTGTTGTAAGATATGAATTATTATGAATGAAAGCCATACACTGGGCATCGCTGTTCATTGGTGTTCATGTTTACAGATTTATTTAAGAAAGTTATACAACCAAAACAAGAGTAAGTGCCCCAACATCTGCATATAATTATTCTTGAGCAGTTATAGTTACACGTACATGTGGCTGTAGTTATGTGTAGAGAAGGATGGATTAGGTACTGATGTTTTGGCTGCGTAGTAACCATATTCTGTTACAATGAACATCCAGGGACTGTGTAAACACCTTGTGACGCCTGAGAACACAAGTCAGGTTCAGATTCTTGTAAGAGCTCTCCTTCCTCACGTGGATGAAGACGATTACTAGCTGCTGTATTTATGAATGGTTGGCGGCTGTGGGATAATTCTCTTCTCCTAAATTAAAATCTCCTTAAGACTTTTACCGCGAGAGGAAAGAATGAATAGAAGAGAAGAGAGGAGAATTAACTGTCGTTCAAAAGGTTTTTCTTTGGTCTCATAAGATCTAGAGGTGATTGAAAGTTTATTTTACCAAAAAACCCCAACTGTTCAAGAACGCCATAAATAACACTACAATTTGTTATCAGACGTATGAGGAACGCGTGTATCCGGAACAGAAGTGGGTTACAACTTGGTGTCTCTCTGTGTCACACCATGATGCTACCAATGACATGTTCCACAAACTCTTTAATTATATAGCCGGTCAAAACGACGAAGGTGAGTAACCGACATCTTTCTTGTCATCCATTATCGTTGACATCCATCAGCTGATTGTCTGTTTGCATTGATCAGATATCATTTATATACAACATATACATTGATCATGTGATTGGTATCTTTGTTAGTCTCGACAAGACAAGTTTTCCACGCATGGGTATAGGTTTTCACATGAAAGAGGTGAACTTACAGGCATCAAGATCGACATGACGGCGCCTGTCACCACTCTGGTACAGCCAGGTGAAGGACCCAACTGTGAGAACAACTTCACCATGAGTTTCTACGTTCCTGCCGTTCACCAAGACAACCCTCCAACACCAACCAACCCAGACGTGTACATCGAGCACCGTCCTGAGCTGCACGTCTTCTCCAGGTGAACCTCTCTCTCTCATGAACCACCAGGAGGTTCTATAGTCATTAATATTGCTGTGCCCTCTTTGTTTACAAATTTATCAATCACTTGCTTGACAATAATTATTTCCAGTTCCGGAATAATCAGAGATACAACTTAAGGCACCCAGAGCTACTAAGACCACCCCCCATGCGCTCCTCTCAGTCCCAGACCTCCATAAAATATCACCGTGTGAAGGTGTGGAACAACTTACCCCCACCCATCCCAGCAAAGACTACGCTTCCTTCCTTTAAATCATCTCTTTAAAAATATCCTTTGTCTAAGTATTAATATTTTTGTAATACCTGCTTCATATTCCTGCTTATAGTGTACCATCAAAACCATTATATTATAAATTTATCATGAACATAACTAAAATTTACCTCTGCAATAATTATATTTGCCAACTAGACATGATACTGACAGCTCTGTCCTCTTGCTTCAACCCATGTTGGACTGCTTCCCTCCCTTATCATATTAATGTATATCAACTCCATTGTAAAGTTTGTGTATAGTTATGATATAAATGTAAAAACATAAATAAAATTAATAAATATTGAAGTGATAACCGTGGTAACATTATGAGATGTTCTTATTACCACCATTCTATTGCACTATTCCAGATGATACTAAATGTTACATCATACTTCCTTGAGATGAATGTACGGTATATATCGGGTGCCTTCAAGAGAGCTCGGGCTCTCAACTGGCTTAGCCATGTTAATATTGTTATTATCAACTCTGTATCTGTGTTTTTTCTGGTTAAATAAACTGTTTCAATATCAATATCATGAACCACCATGGGGTTCTATACTAATTAACATTGGTTCTCTCTCCCTCCTGAACCATCAGGAGGTTCCACGGGTTCACTAAGGACGAAGACTGGATTACAAATGCAGCGTTGTTGGCAGAGGACCTTCAAGCAGCTGACCAAGAGGACGTGGACTTCCACACTTACTACACTGCTGGCTACGACTCCCCCTTTGTTATCTTCAATCGCACCAACGAAGTCTGGTTCATGAAACACTGACTCAACTAGTTCATTAAACAATGAGTCAGCTGGTTCATGAAACAATGAGTTAACTGGTTCATGAAACACTGACTCAACTGGTTCATGAAACAATGAGTCAACTGGTTCATGAAGCACTGAATCAACTGGTTCACGAAACACTGAATCAACTGGTTCATGAAACAATGATTCAACTGGTTCATGAAACACTGAATCAACTGGTTCATGAAACAATGATTCAACTGGTTCATGAAACACTGAATCAACTGGTTCATGAAACAATGATTCAACTGGTTCATGAAACACTGAATCAACTGGCTTATGAAACAGTGATTCAACACTGGTTCATTTAACACTGACTCAACTGGTCCATGAAACACTGCGAGTTAAACCAAGAAATCTGTATATGTTAAGTTTACATCATTTACATTTTTTTTTTTAATTTCTATTCCAAATTATCCAAAATATATCTACAAATATATATCTTGTATACTATTATTGAAATCCTCCAAAGATACACCTTATTATTATTAAGGCCGTGGGTTTTATGGAATGTCTGGATGTGTCATAAATGTTTCCTCACTGTCTCATGGATTTTCGTGTAGATAATAGTTCTTTTGTTGTTATTCACTCAACCTGGACGGTAATTTTGAGAACAGAATTATAGTAATACACTTGAAGACATTAAAACCATATACAGTAGTTCATAACAAGTTCTGTTTAAGAGTCACCACATACTTATACGGTATAATAATCAGAGTGTCTGTTAATGAAAGTGATATCGGGGCGAAGCAGCTCGACCTGTTTCCAGCCTGATAGAAATCGAAAGTTAAGTTCATGTTGCCAATAAGACGAAACACTACATCCGTGCTGTTTACCTCACTATATGCATCAGTATGTACTATTTAGGAGTCTTTAAGGCAAGTCACATGAAGTAACAACGTGTTAATAAGATCAAGTCACAAAATATAACATAAAAAATAACCGACAATAACCAGGTCAGATGATAACACCAGACCTGTCATCTGAGCCAAGTTGCTTCTTTTAATTTACTGGCTGTCAACTCCTGAATCATTAGAGCCAAAAGGTGTGGCTCATTAAGAGAAACTTAGAGGAGGGCTGCTAGAATCTTTAACAGCCTTGAGGATTATACTTCGTATTAATTTGTCAAAACTAACATCCTCCATGCATACTACATTACAGCTGACTCCTACCCACAAAAATTTAGAAATTTACCAACAGTCTCTTAACCAATATATGTTGAGTTTGCAACTGAAAAACTACGCTGCTTCAAACAATAGCTGAACACTTAACATACTGCTGAACACTTAACATACTGCTGAACACTTAACATACTGCTGAACACTTAACATACTGCTGAACACTTAACATACTGCTGAACAGTTACACTGCTGAACACTTAACATACTGCTGAACACTTAACATACTGCTGAACAGCTAACATACTGCTGAACAGTTAACATACTGTTGAACACTTAACATACTGCTGAACACTTAACATACTGCAGAAGCCTTAGTATACTGCTGAACACTTAACATACTGCTGAACACTTAACATACTGCTGAACACTTAACATACTGCTGAACACTTAACATACTGCTGAACACTTAACATACTGCTGAACACTTAACATACTGCTGAACACTTAACATACTGCTGAACACTTAACATACTGCTGAACACTTAACATACTGCTGAACACTTAACATACTGCTGAACACTTAACATACTGCTGAACAGTTAACATACTGTTGAACACTTAACACTTTACATACTGCTGAACACTTAACATACTGCCGAACAGTTAACATACTGCTGAACAATTTTAACATACTGTCACACTTAACATACTGCTGAACACTCTAACATAATTGCTGAACACTCTAACATACTGCTGAACAGTTAATATACTGTTGAACACTTAACATACTGCTGAACACTTAATATACTGTTGAAGCACTTAACATAAATTTTTCGAACACTTAACATACTGCTGAACACTCTAACATACTGCTGAACACTTGACATACTGCTGAACACTTAAATATACTGCTTTGAACACTTAACATACTGCTGAACACTTAACATTGTACTGGGTTGAACACTTAACATACTGCTGACTTAACATACTGTTATTGAACAGTAAACATACTGCTGAACACTTAACATGGGTTGAACACTCTGATGTATACTGCAGAACACTTGACATACTGCTGAACACTTAACATACTGCTGAACACTCTAACATACTGCTGAACACTCCTACTATGTTCTAGAAGACTTTAGTATACTGCCAGAACACTTAACATACTGCTGAACAGTTAACATACTGCTGAACACTTAACATACTGCTGAACACTTAACATACTGCTGAACAGTTAACATACTGCTGAACACTTAACATACTGCTGAACACTTGACATACTGCTGAACAGTTAACATACTGAACACTTAACATACTGCTGAACACTTGACATACTGCTGAACACTTAACATACTGCTGAACACTTAACATACTGCTGAACACTTAACATACTGCTGAACAGTTAACATACTGCTGAACACTTAACATACTGCTGAACACTTAACATACTGCTGAACACTTAACATACTGCTGAACACTTAACATACTGCTGAACACTTAACATACTGCTGAACAGTTAACATACTGTTGAACACTTAACATACTGCTGAACACTTAACATACTGCAGAAGACTTAGTATACTGCTGAACACTTAACATACTGCTGAACACTTAACATACTGCTGAACACTTAACATACTGCTGAACACTTAACATACTGCTGAACACTTAACATACTGCTGAACACTTAACATACTGCAGAACACTTAACATACTGCTGAACACTTTACATACTGCTTAACACTTAATATACTGCTGGAACACTTTAATAATTGAACACTTAACATACTGCTGAACACTTAACATACTGCTGAACACTTAACATATCAGTTTTAATACTTAACATACTGCTGAACACTTAACATACTGCTGAACACTTAACATACTGCTGAACACTTAACATACTGCTGAACACTTAGCATACTGCTGAACACTTAACATACTGCTGAACACTTAACATACTGCTGAACACTTAACATACTGCTGAACACTTAACATACTGCTGAACAGTTAACATACTGCTGAACACTTAACATACTGCTGAACAGTTAACATACTGTTGAACACTTAACATACTGCTGAACACTTAACATACTGCAGAAGACTTAGTATACTGCTGAACACTTAACATACTGCTGAACAGACTTGACATATACTGCTGGAACAAAGTAATATACTGAACACTTAACATACCATGAACACTTGACATACTGCTGAACACTTAACATACTGCTGAACACTTAACATACTGCTGAACACTTAACATACTGCTGAACAGTTAACATACTGCTGAACACTTAACATACTGCTGAACACTTAACATACTGCAGAAGACTTAGTATACTGCTGAACACTTAACATACTGCTGAACACTTAACATACTGCTGAACACTTAACATACTGCTGAACACTTAACATACTGCTGAACACTTAACATACTGCTGAACACTTAACATACTGTTGAACACTTAACATACTGCTGAACACTTAACATACTGCTGAACACTTAACATACTACAACACTCTAACATACTGCTGAACACTTAACATACTGCTGAACACTTATCATACTGCTGAACAGTTAACATACTGTTGAACACTCTAACATACTGCTGAACACTTAATATACTGCTGAACACTTAACATACTGCTGAACAGTTAACATACTGTTGAACACTTAATCATACTGCTGAACACTTAACATACTGTTGAATGACTTAACATACTGCTGAACACTTAACATACTGCTGAACACTTAACATAATTGCTGAACACTCTGACATACTGCTGGAATACCTAACATACTGCTGAACACTTAACATACTGGGTTGAACACTTAATACACTGCTGAACACTTAACATACTGCTGAACACTTACTATAATTGCTGAACAGTTAACATACTGCTGAACACTTAACATACTGCTGAACACTTTAACATAATGCTGAACAGTTAACATACTGCTGAACACTTGTTGAACACTTAACATACTGCTGAACACTTGACATACTGCTGAACACTTAACATACTGCTGAACACTTAACATACTGCTGAACACTTAACATACTGCTGAACACTTGACATACTGCTGAACACTTAACATACTGTTGAACACTTAACATACTGCTGAACACTTAATATACTGTTGAACACTTAACATACTGCTGAACACTTAACATACTGCTGAACACTTAACATACTGCTGAACACTTGACATACTGCTGAACACTTAACATACTGCTGAACAGTTAACATACTGCTGAACACTTAACATACTGCTGAACACTTAACATACTGCTGAACACTTAACATACTGTTGAACACTAAGCATGCTGGTGAACACTTGACATGGTCGCCCATGAGACTGTTCATAATACTGTATGTTGAACTTTTACCATTGAAGATGTAGTATCCCAAGACTAAACACAGGTCAAATTATTATTATTATTATCGTGGCCGGACAGATGGCCGAACAACATTTGACAGAACGGACATTGAGCCAACAGACATTTGGCCGAACGGACAATAGACAGAACGGACATTGAGGCAACAGACATTTGGCCGAACGGACAATAGACAGAACGGACATTGAGCCAACAGACATTTGGCCGAACGGACAATAGACAGAACGGACATTGAGCCAACAGACATTTGGCCGAACGGACAATAGACAGAACGGACATTGAGGCAACAGACATTTGGCCGAACGGACAATAGACAGAACGGACATTGAGGCACACGAACGGACAATAGACAGAACGGACATTGAGCCAACAGACATTTGGCCGGACAATAGACAGAACGGACATTGAGCCAACAGACATTTGGCCGAACGGACAATAGACAGAACGGACATTGAGCCAACAGACATTTGGCCGAACGGACAATAGACAGAACGGACATTGAGGCAACAGACATTTGGCCGAACGGACAATAGACAGAACGGACATTGAGCCAACAGACATTTGGCCGAACGGACAATAGACAGAACGGACATTGAGCCAACAGACATTTGGCCGAACGGACAATAGATAGAACGGACATTGAGGCAAATGGAAATATGGCCTTTTTTATTTTATTTTTTTTATTTCTTCTTTACAATGAATTTGCTTTATAAAACACAGGTTCAAAAGATAACATAATTTTAATGTGATACATTTGCATGATAGAAAATTCCTTTTTGCACATTTGTTTAGGCTAGGTTAGGTTAGGTTAGGTTAGGTTTGGTTAGGTTAGGTTATTTGTCCATTCGGCTAAATGTCCGTTCCGTCTATTGTCCGTTCGGCCAAATGTCTGTCAGTGAAATGTCCTTCGCTG